TTTCATCGGTAAATTACACTGATATTGGGAGATTGTTTGGAATGTTTTAAATATGTATATTTTTTATTTTTTTAGATTAAAAAATTGAGAAAAAAAATATGAATGTTTGGGTTAATTTTTTTGAGTTTTTATGAAAAAATGTGTATTAAAAAATTGTATAAATTAGTGTGTAGAGAAAAATTAAGATTGGAATTTGTGCAGCCGTAATTTTTTACTTTTGGTGAATAGTGATAACTTTTTAACTTTTTGAGTAACTTTTTAACTTTTGATTTTTTTTTTAACTTGCCAAACTTAACCTAAATTTGGATTTAATATATATTATTTTTTTGATGTTTAAAAAATTACATTTTTATTTCTTTTGTTAATTATCTTATTTTATACATTCCCAGCTTACATAAAAAGTAATAATTTTTAGAAAAAAAAAATTACATTGAAAAAAAAGTATAGAAAAAGAAAAGAAAAGAAAAGAAAAAAGTAAAGTAAAACAAAAAAATAGAGAATGTATAAATTAATATTTTTTTATATCAATATTAATTCTGTCTAAATAATTACAATGATAAAGGTTAGTATAATTTTTCAAATATCATAAATGATATGTATTAAATTCAAATCTCAAGAGTGTAAGCGTAATTTACCATTTTTTAAATAAAATAATAACAATAATATTATATAAATTTTTATAATCGGTTTAAATTTTATCTTTGAATTTTAAAATTTAATCATAAATCATTTCAAAATATTATCTTATTATATTTAATTATTTTAATTAGGTTTATTTTGAAATGTGGGTTAAAATTTGATTTTAAATTTTTTTTCACTTTTTTTAAAATGTGTACAAAATTAGATAAGTTATGTGATCTAAAAAAGTCAAAAAATTGACTTTTAGCTGAGTTTTCAAAATAGGCCTTAGAATTATACACAAAATCAGGTCATCTATAAAGTGCATAAAATGTATATTAAATTTTTATTTAGAGATTTCATTTGCAGTTTGTTAATAAAATAAAGGAAATAAAGTGTAAATGAGAATGATTTATTATAAGTTTTTTTTTCCCGATGTGTACATAATATATAAGTTAATAATAATGATTTGTAAAATATCAAATATTAACAAGTGCTCATTGGATATTGTTTATTATTGAAATTTATATAAAATTTATTTTATAAATCGTAAAATGTAAAAAATAATTTAAAATCAATGAAAAATATTTTTGAATTGTAGAAAAGGGTCCTGCATTTATTTCATTTTATTTTATTTTTTGTCTCATGCAATCATAAGAAGATTTATTACTTTATATATGTTTTAAAAAATAATGATTAATAAAGTGACGTGGACAAGTGTGGTCTGTGATTTGAAATGATCTAAATAAGTATATTTTTTAATTTTTTATGAAAAGATATGTAGAAAAATAGAGATGTGATGTGACGCAAAAAATATAAAAAGATAAAAAAGTGTGTACTTATTAGTACACCCCAAACAAGGTAAGATAGGGTCTATTTGGAAAACTGGTTAAAAGCAAGGTAAGATAGGGTAAGTAGAGATGTAATGTGATATGATCAAAAAAAGATAAAAAATGTGTATTAATTGGCGCTGTTTGGGAAGCACCAAATAAGACTATTATAGCCTATTTTGACAAATTAGCCTAAAAGCAATACTGTTGCAACCTTTTTCAAAAATAAAAATAAAAATAAAAAAATTCTGCACAGCCGGCAGTGTAGGCTATGCCTACACTATCAGCTACAACCTTTGTCCCATCAATAATTAAATTACCATTTTACCCCTTGATATCAATTTAAAAAAATATATTTTTAGGGATAAATTTGTCATTTTAAATTTAAACATCATTTCAACACACTTTTCAATACAATAACTCAACTAAAAAATCATCTCATCTTCCCAAACACAAAAATTAAAATAGCCACTAAAATAGCAAAATAGCCAAATAGCCTACTAAAATAGCTACTTCCCAAACGAGGCCATTATTAGTATACCCCAAACAAGGTAAGATAGGGTCCATTGGGTCCATTTGGAAAACTAGTTAAAAGCAAGGTAAGATAAGGTTAAAAGCAAGGTAAGATAAGGTTAAAAACAAGGTAAGATAGGAAAATAGAGATGCGATGTGACCCAAAAAAATAAAAAAATAAAAAATATGTACTTATTAGTACACCCCAAACAAGGTAAGATAGGGTCCATTTGGGAAACTGGTTAAAAACAATGTAAGTGTGTACTTTTATTCTATTTTAGATCACATCACTTCTCATATTTTTTATCTAAAAAAAACAAAAAAACTAGAAAAGTTAAAAAATCAGCTTTTAACTAACTTTTCAAAACACTCCTTCATACTAATTTGTTGATGTCGTACCAATATTAGAAAAGTAATGTTAGGAATAATAATTTTTTTATCAAATGAATAATCAAATATCTTATATGATTGTAGAGTCTACATTTTTATATCTCACACCTATATAAGATATTTAATTATTTATTTAGCAAAAAATTTGGGACCTATAACATTTTTATGGGTGAATTAGACGTAGCTTGAGATTTCTTTATTTTGATCCTAATTTTTTAATCGTAATATATTTGATTTTGAATCTTAAATCTCATTTAAAATAAGAATAATTGAAGACACTATTGTTCTATTTGAAAGGCAATGTTGTTAATTTGATGAAATATAAATTAATTTGACAAAAATAAATGTTAAGAAATAATTTTTGTTTTTTTAAGAATTATTTGTACCTGCCAAATATAAAATTATATAAAAATAATAAATATATTACATTTTTATTTTTTTACCAAAGTTATTTTTAGTATACGTTTAAATCATAATCGTGTAATGGGTGATTGTTTTTGTTGATATTTTTTTATAGTTACCATGTACAAGATGATTGTATTTGTTGTTAACAATTATTTTCAGATGGTTATCATATAATAGATAGGCTTTATTTGGGAAGAAGGGTTGGGTTGGGTTGGGTTTGGTTGGGTTTGGGGCTATTTTAGTCACAAAAATACAAAATATGCTTTTTAACTTAATAAAAAAATATCACATCCAACTCATACAATATTTTTCTCGCAAAAAGTCAAAAAAGTCAAAAAATCATTCCCAAACGAGACTGTTTAGCCCCAAATTAAAATAGCCAAAAAGTTAAAAAGCCAAAAAGTCAACTCACTTCCCCAACGAACCCATAGTTATTAGACCTTTAATGTGCAATTGATATGTTTAATATATAAATTTTTAAAATTTTTTGATTTAATGGAATTTAATAATGACATTAAAGTTGTTGTCATGTTTGACTATTGAAAAATAGAAACTAATTTAATGAAAATAAATATAAAAAAAAGTTTAAAAATTCATTTATACCTTCCCAAAATATAAAATTATATAAAAATGATATATTTTTAATTTATTTTTACCAATTTAATTATTAATTTATTAAAAAAAATGTTTGAAAATAGATTCTAAAAGACAAACTAAACATAATTTCATAATCAATAAAGTTCTAACATTATTCATTAACGAACAAACTTACATAACTGTTTTTATCATCTATTGTGTTTTGGGATTAGCTTAAAAAAGCATTTTTTTTTTTTTGTCTTTTTCTTCAAAATTTTGTCTCTAGTACATATTTATTAAAAAAAAAGTTGCCATTTTTTTTTGAAAAATCAAAAAGCAAAAAATTACTAAAGGAAAAAGAATTATATATATTTTTTGCAATTATTTACTTTTCTCTTTCCATCTAGTGGATTTTTCTCTTTCCATCTAGTTGATTGTATTTAAAACAAAAAACAATCAATAAAAAAATCAATTCCAAATCCCAGTATAAGATAAAAATCTTTGTATAATAAACATATGGTAAATATGTATCCCTTTTTCTTACATATTTTATTCATATTTTTTTTGCGGATCAATAAAATATAACATAAATTTAAATGTACACATCTCTAATATATATTTTGTAAAATGGAAACAAAAATCATGTAAGCTGACGGTTAGATAAAATACCTTATCCAAGAAAGATCTATTAAAAGTCAATTTTTTTTATTTTTATTTTTAAAAATATAAAAAAATAAAGAATTAATGTAAAGTCAAAAGACTAAATTTTTGATTTTTAATTCAATTGTCAAAATAAGTGCAAAAAAAAAAATTTGAATTGAGATTTTTTTTTTTTGAAAAAATCAAAGGGAGTTAAGTGATACAAAAATATTCAAGATTTTAAAAATTTTAATAAAATTTATATCAAATATTCTATATAATTGTGAGACTCACATGAAACTTATACGGTGTAAATCTTATAAATATATTTTTTTAGCCTGTAAAGTCCGTTTGGGAAGGACTAATTTGGCTATTTTAGTCACAAAAGATAAAATAGGCTATTTTAGTCGTAAAAAACAAAACATCGCATTCAATCCATAATCATTACACTATTTTCTCACAAAAAAAAATCAAAAAACTAAATTTTTTTTCTCAAATCAAAATTTTTAATCCAAACTAAAATAATCAAAAAAATCAAAAAACCAAAATGTGAACCCATTTCAGTTGAGGGAGGTTCCTGACATTTACCATTTGGTTATGCTTTTTTGCCTGAAAAGTGCCTTTTTCCCATTTTGGCTCCGAATCATCGTTCGCTAGACTCGTGTGTAGTTTATTTCTCTTGTGTATGCCTCTGCTATTCTTGGCAACGACCCCCCCTCTCTCTCTCTCAACAATCTTTCTTCGACAACTCAAACCCTAGCAGGTACGACCAAAGAAACATTAATTTGTTTCAAATTAATCATTATTTTAGTCGTAAAAAACAAAACATCGCATTCAATCCATAATCATTACACTATTTTCTCATCAAAAAAATAAAAAAAATCAAAAAACTAAATTTTTTTTCTCAAATCAAAATTTTTAATCCAAACTAAAATAATCAAAAAAATCAAAAAACCAAAATGTGAACCCATTTCAGTTGAGGGAGGTTCCTGACATTTACCATTTGGTTATGCTTTTTTGCCTGAAAAGTGCCTTTTTCCCATTTTGGCTCCGAATCATCGTTCGCTTGTTTCATATCGAGACTCGTGTGTAGTTTATTTCTCTTGTGTATGCCTCTGCTATTCTTGGCAACGACCCCCCCCGTCTCTCTCTCTCAACAATCTTTCTTCGACAACTCAAACCCTAGCAGGTACGACCAAAGAAACATTAATTTGTTTCAAATTAATCATTTTTTTTCTTATTTTTATTGACTAATTTGTTCACCTTGTTTTCAAATGGTGTTTCTTACATCTTTGGAGATCATTAAATTGTCTGTCTTCAAAATGCGTGTTATCTCTGAATTCTTATACATATATATTTTCTTCGAGCAGGGTATGTAATTTATTAATTAGAAACTCGATAATTATGTTCCATTGACGAAGGAATGGCTATGCAGAGTTAAGCACATTGGGGATCAAGAATAATTTATTCTTTGATTTGGGTATTTGCAAAATTGAGGATTTAAGGGTGTCTGGTGTTTCATTGTATTGGGTTCCTTTTAATTTTATTGATATGCGAAGAAACAGAATCAATTGATATTGGTTGTTGTTGTGGTCTTCATTTATGTAATTAATTTGGTTTTTGGGAGTTTTGATTAATTGGAGAAATGGGTATCGAAAGGAGGGTAGTTTAGTGAAATGGAAACAAAAGAAGACGGTGATGCACAAGAGGAATGGCCAACATCACCATATCAAGTGTTACAGCATATTTCCGAGGAGGCAGTTAGAGTGGCGGGCGAAGCAATACAGAGTGTTTATGTGGGTTGTAGTCCTAATAATATTCAGCCATCAGAGCCACCGGGGCACAGACGTAGTCAAAGTGAAGTTTTGACAAAGGTACACAAGCGTAACAATAGTTTTCAGAGATTGAAGACTCATATGCAAAAGGCATTGCGATGGGGTAGCAATTCACGGGAACAAACTTTGTTTTCCTCTTTCAATCCTGAGATCTTGGCTAACCAAAAACGTCAGTGGTATCAGCTTCACTCAAAATCGTTGGTAAGCTGCCTCTTGATCCACCCACAAAAAAAAAAAAGTCATGATGGGATGTTAATTATATTTGTTTTCAGTTTAAAATTTCAATTACCATGTTGCTCTGTAGAAGAAATAATGTATGCATATGGTTCTCCGATGTTGGTTTCATGCAACTCCTTTTTAGACTATCCTCCTCTGTTCTTATTGATTTTTTATACTCTTGTTGAATGCACTAGATAAATAAGTGGGATACTGGGTACTTTTTGGGGTAAGTGATACTGGGTACTGTTGCCAACGTAAACTTAAATTTTTCAGTATATCGTTTTCAAAATCTTTTACAGATTGTTGTTCTTTGCAGAAACATGTGTATGCAATGACACTGAGACTTGTTGATAAACCCTTGTCCACTTTAAGCACAACTTATTGCACAATATTATTTTTCCTCCAGTCTAAAATGTCTTCATATACATTGAGGAGGAAGTTGAAAATCCATGTTGAATTGTTGATCCAATGGGAGACTAGAAACCACGTATAGAACATGATGTAGAAGTTCAGTACTTTTCCTTTGGGGGTGAGAAGAATCAAAGTAGATACATTATGCTTGTTTTTCCTACAAGAGACGTTCCTATGCATTTCATTATTGTGGAGGTTAAAAGAGGAGATAAAATAACATTAGTGCTAGGAGAAGAGACGAACACTTTAATATAGTTGTGGATTAGTACAAGGGTCCCAAATGGAGAGAGGGTTTGCACTGGTGCTCTCTTGGACACGTGCTTTAAAAAGAATGATGAATACTTAATATAATGTACAAAAGTTGAACAAATTTTGCTAATTATATGTTTCTTACTAGGAAGGTTGAGAACAATGAACATGGAAGGATTGTAAAGCAATTAGTGGCAAAGAGCTGACTCACAATAAATATTAGTGGTATTAGATGTATGCATTAGGAGATGGGAAATAGAGAGTAAACGAAGTAGGCCCTCTCAAGAACCATATGATGGAACTTAAAAGGTGAAAATTTAGTTCTTTTTAAGAAAAGGAAAATGAACTTTAAATGATAAAACTACTATCATGTACTGTGAGATGACTGGTTGTATTATAAACAGTATGTAAGAGGCTTTCATCTGAAGAAACTTGTGGTGGAATGAAGAGGTTCAACAAACAATCAAAACAAAAAGACTCTTACAAGACTTTACATGCATGTAGGCATAATGAAAATAGAAAGGACGGGGAGAAGATATATATAAACTTGTTAGGATAAAAGAAAGAAGAAACATCATTATTTGTCATATTTGAAGGACGATGAATTCCATGAATTTTATTTTTTATATTTGTGTTGATTTAGACGTGCCTCTCCCATTCCTTGTAGTTTGAGCGAGTACTTTTGTTATCTCTATGTATGAGAACTTATTTTAAAGAATGCTCTCACAATAACTACAATATACACATTGAAGAATATACTGCTTCATGGGAAAAAGGATGAACCAATGATGCACAAGTTAATTATACATCAACTAAAGTTATACACTCAAATTTGGAGTTTCCTACACTGATTTTTTCATTCTTAGTTATTGTATAATTATATTCTCCATTGCTATACAATAGTCTTATCCATCTTCTTAGTGGATGATTATCTACTGATTGGGAAATTTGTCATAATTTCATCCCAAGTAACTCAAATGCTGATGCTATGCAGGACCAGAAAAAATATGAGGAGCCCATCTCGCTTTTTGAACACTTAATCATTGTGGGTCTTCACCCAGATGCAAATCTAGATGTAGTGGAGGATGCATTTGCCAAAAGGAAAAAATGGGAGTCAGAAATGCAAAAATATGAAATGATGGATATCAAACTGCGGCAGTATCGGGGACCTTCATTTCCAACATTGGAACCTCAGGTTGACTGCTTAACTAAATAAATACTCTTGTTGTATAGAGCGGAAGTTTTTGCATATTTCTGATGTATTATGTTTGCCCTTTATATTTTTCTGTAGTTAGCAAGGTATGGTGATGTTTCATCTTGAGCAATTGGTACTTATGCCTCAAGATTATGCAATATCCATTTTTTGGTGTAATATTTGGAATTTTAGTTTGAATTCAGATATGTCTATTTAACTACATTAGTGGGAGTTCTTTTATTTGAGAGAGAGAGACTATATATTATAGTAGGAAAACGCTTACCCACTATCTGAAATGTGGATTGTTCTGGTTCGTGGAACAGGAACGTTGTATGTCACATGCTTTAAAATGTGGTACAATAGGGGTAAATTTTTATAGATTATACTATCAAAATTTAAAGTACTCCTGGAGCTTCTTTTAACAATTAGCTATCCAATAAATTAGTTAATATTTTCCTTCAAATTAATCATGTAACATATTTCTATGAGCATTATGACCCTTTTTTACGTTTTGTTGCGCCAAAGCTCCACTCTCTGTTGATTTTAGTTCATTATATTTGATTTTCTTTCCTCCTAAGGAAATCTTTAAAGAAATATATTGTAATTTGTAAATTTGGATGTATTATTGATTGATATATTGATTGATTTATTGATACATATTCTGTCTATTACAAATGGTTCCTTATATAGATGTAGGTGTAGTGGATGGTGATAGTGGTGTAGTGGGTTAGGTTTAGTGGAGTAGGTGAGGTGGTAGTGGTGTAGTGGGTTAGGTGATGGTAAATTCTAACATAATTTTTTAATTTTTTTGGGATTGTTTTGGATTGCTACGTTCACTTTTTTTTGGAATGAAAATGTACCATGTTTCGGACTGTGTGTATAGATTCTCAAACTGTTGGCTGGTTTTCTTGGTTATGACTAATAGCTACACTCTGTATTTTGATGAATAAATATTCTGTGCACTTCTTTCGATGTGGTGCTGACATTATTTAAATTATTTTCTTATATTCTGCAGATACTTTTTAAGTATCCTCCTGGGAAGAGGTTATCTGTCCGTCCAAAGGATTTAACAGCATTCTGCTTTCCTGGGGGTGTGAAGGTGCAATATTGCTGATTTCTTGTGCTGTTGTTGTTACTTCTCTAACTAAAGATTATCTTTGATTTATCACTTACGTTGAATGGATGCATTTCTACAAGACAAAATAAAAGCAATTTGTGAATATTCTAACTATGCCTGGTTGTTTGTAATTATTGCCAGTTTGTTTTCAACTTTTTGCTTCTTGTTTCTTGTTTCTCATAGCTAGCCATCTTTTTTGTATTTTTTGGGATTACCGCACATATTTTTTATAAGATATGTTCATATATGGTAACCCCAAGGGCTGGGCCAAGCGATAAAGACTTGAAAATAAAATCCAAGGTCTCGTGCTCAAATTACCCCAAAGGGCCACGGGAGGTTTGCCTGGTACCTCCAGTGACCTCGGGATTAGTTGAGGTGCGTGCAAGTTAGCCGAACATCCAGTTATAATAAAAAAGACATATTCATATGTGGTATTAATTATGTTTAGCAATCGATCTCAATTCTATTTTACTTATTTTTAGCTTAGTCTAAGATTAATATTTTTATTTGTCTACATTCTTTAGGTTGTGACCTTAATTTTTGTAAGTAAATTAAATTTTATCAAATGACACAAGGGGGTGCCACTCAAGTAATTTCTTTTAGTTACTACAGTGTTTGGTCATGGACGTACTGTCAAATCAATATTGTTGACTGGATTCCAATAGTTGATTGTAATTTGAATTCATAGTTTTATTTGTTGGCAGCCAACTCCAAGTAATTGGGATAAAGCTTGTTGAGTTGAGTTGAGTATAGTTTTATTGGTTGATAAATAAGGGCGTAGGATGACACTTATCGCATAAAAGAAAAGTAAAAAAGGGGTGTAGAATGGCTGAATGAAAGGAAAAGGTTGTTATTTTTAAGTAACCACATTCTACCTCAAGTATTGATCAATAATTTGTTAATTTTGGTTATATTCCAATTGATCTTCCATGCTGGAGAGTGAATTTCTAAAGGGTATGCAGGACAGATGAGTGATAATCATCATCATCCAAAATTACCTGGGTTGTATGTTTGCGTGCTTGTGGGGATAGGTATCCCAATTCCCAACTTATTTTGTTGTAATATAATGAATACTAATTGATCAAATTGTATCATAATATTTATTTTGCCTATTGTTTTCCATGATATGTACTGGATTTTTTTCTTGTCTTCTTGTATTGCTTTTAACTTTTCATTAGTAATTCCTATTTCCAATAAAAAAATGTAACTTTTTCTTTGATGCTAATACACTTCTACCGTAGACAAGGCATGCATTTATTATTAAGATAATGTTTCCCCTAAATTGTGTTTATTTGATGCAGGCAAGAGTATTGGAGAGGACACCATCGTTAAGTGATCTAAATGAACTTGTTTATGGACAAGTATGCAATCTAACTGTAATATGGTCCTGATTTCTTTTGTCTCTATGTATAACTAGCAAATTTTGTTGTCAATTTAAGTTTACATAACTGGATGAAAATTATTTCGATGATGGAATATTACATACCCATGGTTCATACAAATGGGCACAAATATGCGCATACTGTTCATGTCAGGATGCATATAACTATGTGGTGTTGCATGGATCATACGACAAAGAACATTAAAATTGTCAGGAGGAGAGACAATAAATCATAGATACATAATATAGAGCTTGTTTTGCCAAATGGTATTAAAGTAGGTTCAAAAATTTGAAAATGAAAATAGTACTTGTTAATATCCCATCATACTGTTGATATTATGGTGGTGAGTATGTACAGTTTTATCTTTCTCTGTCTATGAATTTATGAGCTTCTGATGGAGAAAACGCATTTATAATCTCTTTTTCTTGTCTTTATCGAAACCTCCTACTTTACAGGGCCTTCCATATTGAGGTTGTGACTCATTCAGCTCTTTTATGGCATGGTATATTAAATTCTTTAGAAACCATAACAAGTAGGGATATTGATGAAGTTAATATTCTTCTTCTCTTTCCTCATTCCATTTGTCCACATTAATAAACACTGGAAGCAGATATTCTATATGAAATCAATTTTATCGGATGCTGGGGATGTGCCGATTGAAACTTGATTTCTGCTTGGAAATGACTCCTGAACATTATGTCAAATGTTTGGCGTTTCAGATAACTTTTGCAGCTCTAATCATCCCTATGTGATTTTCATAGGTTGATGTGCTGCTTATGCATAGATTAGAATGACATGCTAATTAGAGTTTTCTTTTGATACTTTAAAATGTTTTTTGTTTTCCATCCAAAGCCATAACTTTTTGCTTTTGTATTTCTGTTAACAGGAACACTTGTGCAATGATAATATGTCATTCATATTTTCACTCAAGGTAAGTCTGGTTTGCTATTGTTATTTCCTATCTTTGAGTTTAGTGCCTACTTCTTCAACATGCTGGATTGGTAGGTTTAAGTAATACGGTCTTTATCACTTTTGGGCTTTATTCTATATCAAGAGGCCAATGCTTATTTATCTTTTGATACACACTTCTTTTTATTTTTTTGGTTTTAATCCTCATTTAATGCCCCTCATCTAGATCGTGGTACTGTTGTTTGATTAATCCATATTCTACGGTGATTTTTCCCCCTCTTCATGCGTTGAAATTGCTGACCCCAACTGATTGGACACAAGGCTAGGCTTAGCTTAGCTTAGCTTGGTTTTGTTTGGTATTGAAAACCTTTTACTTTAATGTGTGTTGTCTAATATAATCTTTCTGAAATGTTATTTCAAAATCAATTGCATTTCTATGAGAGACCTAGCAAAGAGAAGAAAAGAAATTGTTTCTGCCTGTCTATGTGGGGGAGCTTTGATGGGGATACTCAAGGTATCCGTTGTTAATATGATGTCGTTCTTGTGAGAATATTAGGTTTGGCAGTGTTTCCTTTTTTGAGAGATTGCATAGGTGTGTATATATGGTAATGTTTTAGGTGTATATATATGGCAGTGTTTCCTTTAGTCTTGGGATTAGGTTTACTATATAATCAAATGTATTCTTTGTATTATTACACAATTGAATATATGGGTTTATTCAAAAATATTTACATGGTATTAGAGCTGCCTCTGAGCCCAAACCCTAGATGCCGTCTCTGAATCGTTTTTCTCATCCGTGATCATAGGTCATCTCCTTCGTCGCGATTATCTCTCGGAAAACAGCCCCTCTGGTTTCATCTCTCTATGAGTCGCAAGTTGTGACTCCCTCTGTCTTCGTTTGGTTCGATCGAAGGTCACGAGTGTCTTGCGTGACTCAACTGGTTCCTCATCTGCTCCGGGAAGACGACTTTGTGCTCCATCTTCACTGGTTGAAGGAGTGTTACGTTGGCCTTGTCTCTCTAGGTTGAGTTCGACGTGACCCTCCTTTGGATTTCTCTAGTTCGTGATCATTAGAAAAGGAAATACTGTCTAACCTAATACCCTCACAATTCTAACATGTGTGGGTAGAATATTTTGGAGTCTTCTATCCTCCTAGATTTTCAGCGGTTGGACCTCAATTATTTAGTCTCTTTTGTTTTCCTCTTATTTTGCCCTAGAGTGATTTTATTTTGGCACCTTGTCTTGTTCGTACATTTCATTAATCAAGTTACTTTACCTATCAATGAAACATTATAAACAGCTGAGTGCTTGTTTGAAAACAGTTTTTTAAATAACATATTCACGTTTCTATTTTTATTTTAGCTGTAATAAATAAATAAACTTGCAGAATTGTGGAAACACACTTTTTTTATGCATGACTGCTTGAGCCATTTTTAGTTTTACTTGCACATGTCATGCTTAGAACACATGCTTAATCTTTTGGCATATATAAAATTGTATTTTCCATTTGTGAGTTTTTATTCCTGTTGTGTTTTGGCTGTGGTTTGTAGCATACTGGTTTGCCTGAGAGACAATATGAGGTAGCTGCTAAATAGATTCTATATGCCTATGTTCAGGTGGCAGACAATGCAACACTATATGGTGTTTGCTTACATGTACAAGAAATGGTTCAGAGACCACCTGCTATGTTAGGAGCTGCATCACCCATTTCCCAATCATCTGGAATCAGTCGCTTATTGGCTTCTGCTCCTCGCTGTTACTGTGTTTTAACAAGAGTTCCGTTCTTTGAATTACATTATGAGATGTTGAACAGGTTAGCATAATTTTGTGAATATTATTGATTAATTGATAACTACATGCTACGTATGCGTTGTTTGTCACTGAGACAAAGAGACATAGTAAACTCTAATGTGTGCTTATACAGTTCCAAATGTTTTTATTTACTTGGATGCAGTATCATTGCACAGGATCGTCTGAATCGGATAACACAGTTTGTCACTGAAATCGCTCTCACTGATTATATCCCCTCAGGAACCAAATTACATGATCCGATGAATGACTCCCCATACAGGGACTGTTGTACCGATTGGATGGCTTCTGCAATACCAGTTGACAGTGCGATAGCCCTTACTGCAGCTGCAGCAGGCATTGTATTAGATGACATTCCATCTACTTCATGTAGATGGGAATCTGTGTCTCCTGAAAGTGGTAGCATCAGCGGGGCTTCAGATTATAGCCAAACAAAGGAAACAGAGAAGGATGGAAAAAAGAATCTGCATTATTTCGATGACAATGCCTCTGAGACCTCAGAAAATCGGTTTGATGGTTTAGAAAGAATGAGTGGAAGTTGTGATAATGGCCAAACTCCTCCAGAGGTTGGGACGTGTGTCTATCGTCGGAGCCCAACATTGGAGCGTCTGGGAAGTTCTGAGTCCTTATTCCGGTATAATGGCCAAACTACTCCAGAGGTTGGGACGGGTATCTACCGTCGGAGCCCAAGGTTGGATTGTCTGGAAAGTTCCGAGTCCTTATTCAGGTAGTGTAGTTTCCAAGTATTTTTTACAATATACTGTGTTGTGTTGCTGGGTAAGGCCAACTTGAGTTGATATGTTTTATTTACTACTTGTTTGGGGTGTCTTTCCTTTGTAAAGTCAACTAGTTCTCAAGAATTATGTTCACAATTCTGATTTTGGTTTGGAGTTTCTTTTTGCTTTTTGTTCTGTTGTTTTCTATCTATTTAGTTATACACTGAGTAGCTTGGCAAGTGTGTTATTTTCCACTGTATGTTTTATATCCATAGTATGATTTCAGTAAATATATTGTTTGACTTTTGGCAGTCCAGCAAGAAGCATTGGATCAGAGGATGAAGACGATGAAATCTTTTTCTACCATGAAAAAGTGGCTGGGGATGATATAATAATGGAATGGGCTAGGGTTGGTTTGCTTCCTTATTTCTCTTTATACATTTATATCCATAGTATGATTTCAGTAAATATATTGTTTGACTTTTGGCAGTCCAGCAAGAAGCATTGGATCAGAGGATGAAGACGATGAAATCTTTTTCTACCATGAAAAAGTGGCTGGGGATGATATAATAATGGAATGGGCTAGGGTTGGTTTGCTTCCTGTGCTTACAAGTTTATGTAATGTTGGTGATATTTTGATTGCCATTATCATTTTATTTTTGTGGTCTCTTTGACAGGAGAATAAAAATGATCTACTACAGATAGTTTGTGGTTATCATGCTATGTCTATTCCCACCCGAGGAAGTGAAATAGTTTTTCATCCACTTGAGCATTTACAGGCTATTGCGTATAGGAGGCCTCCAGTTTCTGCTCTTGACCTAAGTGAAAGATACCTGGATCAGAAATTGCAGCAGTCATTGGAAACTGCTGAGGTATAATATTTGGTTTCTGATTAGTTGTTAGACTTTGTTTCTTTATAATATTTTCACTCAAGATTGCTGAAAATGGATGACTTTCTTAAGGTTAATCTGAAGTTATCTGCGGCTGAGGAAGCTTTGTCACTATCAATATGGACTACTGCCACAATTTGTCGAGTTCTTTCCCTTGAAAGCGTAAATTTCTTTTCCACAAAAGTAGTCCTAGATTGTGTTGCATATTTCCCATGTCATTTAAACTCTTGATTTTAAGTGTTCTCTTTAGTAACACACAGTTGTGTTCCAGTCTTGCCTGTTTTCTTATGATTGATTTGTTGTCAACATATTCTTATGATTGATTGGTATTCTATTACAAGAAGGATTTTGTTAATGAGTTTGAAATAGTTGTACATTCTTCATGAGAGTGTCTGCCTTGAGAATGTACAATCATTTTAAGCTTTGTTAACCAATGCCCTTAGGGCACTCGTTAACAAGACCGTTGTACAGAAATAACATCACAGACGTTATCCAAACTCTTGGCCTCCAGTACTCTATTATTGTGATGCATTATAACTGACATACAAAGAAATAGAATGGTTGAGGAAATCAACTAAATAATGTTATTTCCGAGATAACAGGGTGTACTATAGTAATGTGAAATTGCATGACGGCAACTGTAAAATAAATTGCTTCACTGTCTGTGTTTGTTACTCCTGCATAACTCTCTCTATTTTCCCCATTATGGCCAACTTTTCAGTTTATGTATGTGAAGGAATGTTTAAATCCCAGCATTCAAGCTTATATATATTTGCTGCAAACGTGGTTCATGTATTTTTACGAGGATTCCAAGTGTCAAGATTAATGCTTTTTTCAGGTACTGGCATTCATCACTGGGGTATTACTGGAAAAACAAGTTGTAGTAGTGTGTCCAAACCTGGTAATCTTATTTTTGGAAGTAATTATGCCAATCTTGAGATTATTAATCTCTTGCAAGTATTCATTGTGCTTGTTCATTCGATCGTTTCTTGAACATTATGAACAACTTAGAATTGTGTTGAGATGTTCTTTCATTTGAAGCATAAAATTTCACTTTTGCAGGGTGTTCTATCAGCTATAATCTTATCTTTTATTCCTATGATTCGTCCATTTGAGTGGCAGAGTTTATTCCTTCCAGTAAGTTACATAACATCTGCCATACTGCTTTTTCGTTTGAAAATTTTGAGCTTTTAAATATTGCTTAAACCTTGGGATTTTCTGTGGCATCTTACTTGAAACGTTATTGCAAAGCCTAATTGATTTGCATTAGTGAAATAAATTTTGTTTGTGTTTCTTTGTACCGCTAATTAAGAATATCAACAGTCAAACACGGTAAGGAGTGTTGGAATGTGTCCCACATCGCCTGGAGTTGCCCCATTTGTGTTGGTTATTAGGCTCTAGTTTCTCTCTCCTTAATACTTGGGTTTTAAGGAGAAGCGTAGGCTGGGCTTTTCAATTTAGTATCAGAGCTTGGTTGGGCCTATGACTGGTGTGCCATTTGTCCGGGTATTGTATGTTGTGGTCCAAGAGGGGGTGTTGGAATGTGTCTCACATCATCTGGAGTTGCTCCACCCCTATCTGTGCTGGTTATAAGGCTCCAGTTTTCCTCTCCTTAATACCTAGGTTTTAAGGAGAAGTGTGGGCTCGGCATTTCAATTAGGAGTTTAGCATTGTAGGATGTCTACTTTTTATGATTTCAGACTTGTGATTCTCTAGCCAGCGAAGTATGCATTGACATTGATGATCAAGAGTAACTAAGGTCTGTCGAGAATCTATGGGATGTTGATAAGGCCAGAATCGAACTCACTTCTGTCCCTGGCTTCTACATAGTTGTGAACCTTCGTTAAATTATGGGAATACTTCATTGCGAAAAGTATATTGAAATTCCTGTCTTTTCTGTTTTTTTTATCTACACCCTTCAAATGAAGTTTAAGGTTCTTTTGTTTTTTTTTTTTTTGAACAAGGTTCTTTTGTTGATGTTTGAAATTTTGGCACTTGAACAGAAATTTGTGTAGCCCTGTTTTAAGTAGAAATTTGCAGTGTTGTTTTTGTGTGGTAATATTGGTCCTTGGTTTTGGACTTCCTGAATTGTTTGAAGTTTAGTGTGTTCCAAGATGGTCTTGGTTTAATAGTCAATTTATTTTTAGTTAGTCCTTTTAGTCACACTTTCGTCTTCATACTAAAGTAATCTGCATCTTTTTGCAGGTTCTGCCAGGGAAGATGCTTGATTTTATTGATGCTCCTGTTCCATTCATCGTGAGATTCTGATCATTTTTCCTTTATTTTTTTTTTCCTTCTGCAAGTTGAATGTAGGTTTCTGACATTATTCACTGTGATTTTTGACCTCAATTCTTAATTTTATGCCGTTCTTGAATTGATCAAGCTCAAAACTTGACTAGCTTGTCCTACTGATGTTTGTAAATTGATAGATAACAATCTCATGGTTTGCATGAATTTTTCTATCAAGAATGGTTTTAATTGCCACATCAGGCACCTTAATGTATCAGTTGTGGTTTAACGGTACCATGAATATTGGTCAAGGCATAATGGGAATCAGCTAAAGTCATGAGTGCCTTTTTTGCTGCATACAAAGCTTTAAATGATCATTAAGTGATATGTTTAACTCCAGTTTGCCACATTTAAATGTTTTTACTAGCTTTTAGCAATTATATGATATCTAGAAATTTACTAATGGCATTGAACTTTATGTTTTTTTGTTTTTAACCAAAATACATGGAACCTATATAGTACTGTCTGTTATCACTTCTATAGTTATTAAATACTGAATAAGTACTAACAGTGATCAGTAACTACTTAGAAAGTAATTACATATTATTTATGCCATTATATTGGTCGATTCTCAATAGTCGTTACTAGTCAATCAATTTAAAGACTTCACCTTAAATCCTAGTTGTCTTCTATTTATGTAGACATACCCATGGATATTTTCCTAGATTTGCAAGATTTACGACTTCACTTTCTAGTATTTTGAGAAATAATCACCAGTCATTCTTTTTTTTTTTTTCCCTTTTTCAGGTTGGTGTACAACAAAAACCAGCTGATTGGAAGAAGAAAACTTCTAATCTTGTTCTTGTTAATGTGGTCAAAGACCAGGTTTGTTAGGTTTTTGCACCATCTTGGATCATTTCATCTTTTTATTATGGCCTTTGTGGAGAAGTACTTGTCTTCTAGCTGCAGAATGGTGAAAGAGCAATTTTTTATTTTTTATTTTTTAATATTTGGCTGAAAGTAAAGTCCTCATGCCAAACAACATGAAGGGACTTTATGTACTGTGAAATTAATGTACCTAGAGTAGACCATCATCTCAAAGCTGGACTTTCAATTCAACTTAAGTGTATGTGAAGTGGATTTTGACCTTTCTTTTTTGGATTGTTTTAGAAAATTGCTTTACTTAAGGTGATCAGAAAATTGAATGAGGATGTTCAATTGTCAATATATTTCTTTCTGGCTGAAATTTTCAAACTAATTGTATTCCTTTCTGTTTGGGTAGGTAAAAACATGTTACTTACCTGCACTTCCTCGACGTAAAGAGCTTATCTCCGAATTACAACCAATCCATACTAGATTGTCCTGTGAAAAGTCAATTGCTAAAAGGCGTCCTGTATATAAATGCAACGAAGTGCAGGTAATGCTCTGCCAACTTCAACACCTAATACAGTTCCATGCATGTCTCTTTGTTCAATACTTGAAGTTCCATCTCCATGAAAGTATACATTTCAAAAATCTTGAATTTAATTGCTTCGAACTTCTTTGGAGATTTCAGGGGAAAATTTTTTCGTGTATTGCTCTATGGTCAGAAAGAGTTCTATGTTTTCATTGCGTATAATATTATACCATCCCTGCTATATTTGGCTTTTTGGGTCTGCATGGATATACATTTTGCTTCTTTGAATCCAGAGAAGGAATTCTAATAAGAATATGCATACAGGAAATAACAGAACACGGAGACGAGGATACCTTGTGGCAGTAACACACATATTGGACATCATCCCATAATTTATGGCATATGGTGATGCTGTTGTTAATTTCAATTTTTTTGTGACATCTCAATGCTAGTTATTAGATCCTTCCTATTTCTTAGCCTCATGACATATTAACCCTTACTACCGTGCAAAAACATCATGGAGTCTGTGTGTGGCAAATGCTTGTTAGAAAGAAAGCGTGTTAAGTTGCCTATAAGCTATGAACCATGGATACAAATACGGGATACAGGTTCAGATACGATGTGATACGGATACACAATACAACAAAATCTAAACAAATAGGATACATTGATTACTTTCTTTAGGAATTATATATTAGTTTAAGAGTCAATAATTTACTTTCTTTTCAGTGGATATGTTAATATGATAAAATCTGAAAAAGTAAGGTACTACAACTAATGCTTTGAATCGATTAAATGCTAGGTCATTCCCCTTAAGTGATGCGTTGCGCCCGTCTCCGGATGTTTCAAAAAGTGAGCAAGGGCTGCCGTATCGATGCTTGGGTGTGGTGAAAAATGGGCAAATGTTTTTGTGTTTTTTTGGACAAGTGCGGATAAAGAAGCTAGTTCAAGATTATAGGTTTAGAGTAGCCACATGGAATATAGGAACTTTAACTGGTGAGAATATGAAATTGGTAGATGTTATGATTAGGAGGAGAGTTAATATAGTTTGCGTACGAGAAACTAAGTGGATGGGTGAGAAAACTCGGGAAATAGAGGATATCAGTTTTAAGTTATATTATAGTGACAAGGATAGACATAGGCATGGGGTGGGAATAATAGTTGCCAAGGGTCTTGTAGAAAATGTAGTTGCGGTCATTAGGAAAGGTGATCGGATTATGTTAGTTAAATTAGTTATTGGAGAGAATATAGTGAACGTTATTAGTGCATACGGCTCCTAAGTAAGATTAGATGATTAGACTAAAAGAGATTTTTGGGACCAGATGGATGAGGTATTACAGGAGATACCTGTAGGAGAGAACCTAGTTATAGGTGGCGATTTCAATGGTCATGTAAGAGTGGATAAACTAGGTTATGAGAAGGTGCATGATGGGTATAGTTTTGATGATAGAAATGAGGCTGGAGAGAGTATTTTAGATTTTATGTTGAGTGATGGCTAATACTATGTATAAGAGAGAGAGGAGCGTTTGATAACCTTCAAGAGTGGATCAATTAGGAGCCAAATAGATTACTTTCTAGTAAGAAAAGGGGACCGTCCAAATTGCAGTGACTGTAAGGTGATTCTTGGAGAAAATTTGACGTCTCAACGTAGGATTTTGATACTAGATTTATACTTTAAAGGGCAATGCCAAGTTCGGAAAGATAGTGGGCGTCGCAGGACTGAATGGTGGGATCTAAAAGGAGATAAACTAGACACATTTAAGAATAGAATGGATAAAGAAGGTACTTGAGACTTGGAAGATGATGCTAATACTATGTGGAACTCGGTGGCTAATTATATGAGGAAAATTTCAAGGGAAGTTCTTGGAGAGTCAAAAGGAAGGGGACCCAACTTTAGGAAAACTTGGTGGTGGAAGGAGGAGGTCCAAGCAGTAATAAAGAAGAAAAAAGAGAGCTTTAAAAAGTGGTAGAATTATAAAATTGAGGAAAACCTTAAGCGTTACAAATTGGCCAATAAGGAGGCCAAAAAAGTAGTGAGAGAGACTAAGTTGAAAGCCTATGATGACCTATATATTAGATTAGATAGCAAGGAGGGAGAGAAGAGGATATACAAACTTACTAAGATAAGAGAGAGAAAAATAAAAGATTTTAATCAGGTTAAGTGCATCAAGGGTGAGGACTCTAAGGTGTTGGTGAAGGATGAAGAGATTAAGGAGAGGTAGAAGAACTATTTTGAGAAGTTGTTAAATGAAGAACATGGAGGTAGGTCAAAAGGGGAGGAAGTGGGCAGTAATAAGGAAAATTAGGATTATAGGTTCTATCATAGGATTAGGGACTTTGAAGTAGAGTTTGCACTTGAGAAGATGAAATTGAATAAGGCTTTAGGATCCGATGATATGCCTATTGAAGCGTGAAAATGTTTGGCTAAAAAGGGGGTTATTTGGTTGACTAGGTTATTTAGCAAGATTTTGTTGACTAGAAAAATGTCAGAGGAGTGGAGGAAGAGTATTTTAGTGCCAATATATAAGAATAAAGAAAATGTCTAGAATTGTAATAACTATAGAGGAATCAAGTTAATGTGTCACGCAATGAAAGTGTAGAAGAGAGTAATGGAACGTCAATTGCGAGATACAACAGAGGTGTCAGAGAATCCATTTGGGTTTATGATTGGTAGGTCAACAATGGAAGCGATCTATCTTTTGAGGAGAATAATAAAAAAGTATAGAGAAAAGAAAAGAGACATTCATATGTTTTTTATCGATCTTGAGAAAGTATATAATAGAGTGCCTCGGGATATCATCTGGTGGGTGTTAGAGAAGAAAGTAGTGACAAAAGGTTTACATTGATGTGATTAGGGATATGTATGAAGGTGCGGTGACCACTATTACATCTCCTGTTGGAGAGACGAATGAATTTTCAATTACTATAAGGTTGCACTAATGATTAACTTTAAGTCCTTATCTTTTTGCTTTAGTTATGGATGAGTTAACGCACAATATTTAGAATGATATGCCATGGTATATGCTTTTTGCAGATGATATCGTGTTAATGGATGAGACTAGAGGAGTTAACACTAAGTTGGAGATTTGGAGAAAAATACTTGAATCTAAAAGATTTAGGATTAGCAAAACTAAGATATAGTATATGGAATATAATTTTAGTAACAGTCACAATAAAAATAGAGGAGAATTTAAGATTGAGAACCAAGAACCAAGAACTACCGTAGAGTGAACATTTTCGTTATTTATGATCGATTATCATGACAACTGTGGAGATTGGAGCGGATGCGGTTCACAGAATTAAGGCGGGGTGGCTTAAGTGGATGAGTATGTCTGGAGTACTGTACGATAAACAAGTACCCATTAGACTAAAAGGGAAGTTATATAGAACAGCTATTAGACTAGCGATGTTGTATGGGACGGAATGCTGGGCAACTAAGAAACATGTAGATAAGATGAGTATTGCTGAGATGAAAATGTTAAGGTGAATGTGTGGCAAGATTAGAAAAGACAGTTAGAAATGAGTATATTCAAAAATGGGTAGGAGTAGTACCGATAGGAGATAAAGTTGAGAGAGAATAGATTTAGATGGTTTGGTCATATATAACGGAGACCAACAGAGGCAATAGTGAAGAGATGTGATACAGTGATGGTAGATGGTAGTGTTAGGGGAAGGGGTAGATCTAGATTGATGTGAACTAGTGTAGTAAATAGAGATATGAATCTTCTTAATTTGATTAACGAAATGGCCTCGGATAGAGTCGAGTGGAGAAGAAGGATTCATGTAGCCGACCCCATTTTATAGGACTTAAGGTTTAGTTTGGTTTGGTTTAGTATGCAAAAATTATTACATTTCATAATAGTTTGGATACAAGACCTAGAGTATCTGAAAGTATCAATACTTCTCAAAATTAATATCAAGTATGTAATCTGTTTAGAAAGTATCTGATACGTATGCTTACGACTGCCTTTTAGAAGTGTTTGTGCTTCATGGCCTGTAAGTAATAGGATTGCAAGTGTGTAGGCATTGAAGTGCAATTTTCTCAATCCCCGCAGGCTTCTCATCATAAGCTACCAAAATTTTCCAGATTCGTTTGCTTCTACATGATTTTCTCTGTTTTGGCTTTTACTGTTCTAAATCTTGACCGTTACTATGAGTTTGATATCACCTTATCATTCATTCATTCAGGAATAACATATGTCAATATCGAATTGCAGGCTGAAGCTGCTGCACAATTCTTAACAGTCATGAGGCGCTACTTGGAGTCGCTTTGTTCAAATTTGAGGTCTCATACAATCACTAGTGTACAATCAAACAATGACAGGGTTGGACAAACTAAATCACTATTTACTTGAAAATCCTCCATTATTGAAGACTGCAGATGCCAGTGATTGCCTTAAAGAAATACTTCAACGCTTTTTTTGTCTTTACAGGTCTCTTTACTCCTTAAGGATAGTTTTATTGATTCCTTTCCTAGTAAGGACCAGCCATTTATTAAGGTAATCTATGTGCTCCCTTTCTGAAACATGGATGTTTTGGTGAGCTCAAATTTAATTACTTTGTAATTGTTGAAGTTATCTGTTATGAAGTTTTCATGATGCACAACCTGCATTTTTTGGCTGTTACAGTTGTTTGTAGACACACAACTGTTCACCGTTCTGTCTGACTCACGTTTATCAAACTATGAGAATGAGTACTAACTCAAGCATGTTGCAAGTTCAATGCACGAGTTCAAACTCTGGGACACAAAGAAAGGAATTCATTGGACAACAATAAAAGAGATGGAAGAAATGGTCGTCACTGTTCCTCTTCGTAAAATAGCCCTATGACAGAATTTTGTAGATCCTAATGCTTTTGGTGCCATTGATATTGGACTATGCAGCTCAAAGATGTTGCTAAGATGAAATTTTGTAGTGTAGTGACATCATAATAATAGTTGCAAACTCAACACAGCTCTGATGTCTGTTGTGTTGCCCTGCGTGATTGATCATCATCCCAAATTTTTAGTGGGATTGATGTCGCCAGTCAAAGATCCACATCAGTTAAAAAATGAACCAGTTTTAGCAAGCATTATTTTATTGGTAGATGTATTTTAAGGGTTGAAATTATTGTTGATTAATGTAATGTATAGTGTATAACCTTTGATGTTTATTTGAAATATATAGTTTCATGACACAATTACAAATATATGCAGGTTCACTTCATTGTTATCTTTGTGCTTGGAAAGAAATTTCACTTACAAATATAACTGTGAAAATGCAGCCAGTGTTCGGCTCTTCCATGGCTGTAAATCTAAAACGATTATCAAAATAAATTCACATATCTATTATAAATATATTAAAATATCATGTATAATAAGGAGGCAGATCCCTCTAGTCCAAAATCTGGACCTGAGAATGTTATTTGACTTGTGAGGCTCACATGTCTCGTTTTGATGATTCGAATCGTTCAATTTGTTGGACATTTCATGTATTTTATCTATACAAAAAAATTAAATCAATTTGATAATTATAACTTAAACGGTGTTTGAAAAGTGGGGTTACAAGTTATTTTAGCCTTAAAGTGTGAAAAAGCAAAAAGCCTCAACAGTAGTTAGGCACCATTGATTTGAAAAAAAAACCAAAGTAGCCAGCCTCCACTGTCATTGACAGTGTAGGCACAGTGTTTTGCCAACCTACTCCCATAGGCGAAAATCATAATTTTGCCCTTTAGACCAATTTTGAAAAAAAGTGAGTTTAGGAATAAATTTGTCATTTCAATTTTAAATATCATTTCAAACATATTTTTTAATACAACTCAAATAAAGATCTATCATATCTTCTCAAATATAATAAAAATTCATCCTATCTTTTTAAACACAAAAATTAAAAAATACTAAAATAGCCACTTCCCAAACACCCACTTAGTCAATTTATTGTGTTTCACTCAAAAATATATATGATTTATTTTTAAAAAATACAATTGTCATCTATTTTTTTGGTGAAAACTCAATAAATTAAACAAGTTATAGTTATCAGATCGACCTTTTATTTTTTTTTGACTGAAATACACGAAATGCTTGATAAAATAAACAGTTAAGATCATTAAAACGGTGCTCATGATGTGCCTCACAAGTCCAAAAAGCACCCTCTAGTCCAAATTTTGGAGTGGAGGGGATCTGCCTCCATATAATAATGGGTAGGTTACAAATGCACCCTTAAGATTTATTTAAAATACAGGTTGTTTTCTGTAATTCGAAAAATTACAAATACTCAATCGTCATAATTTTTTATTTAACAAAATTAATTGAAAAATGAAATTATTAACTGCTTTTTTATACAATAATAAAATCATATAAATTATTAGTTGAAATAAAATTTTAACATTATTAAAATTGTAAATTAACTTGATTTATTAAAAAAATGAATCATTTATTATGAAATTAGAAATAGACTTACCCCGTTCTAATTTTAAGAGTATGGGGCTTAGCGCTTTGATGGTTGACTGCCTTCGCTTAGGGCATCTTTTTTTCTTTAGGGTTTGGCTTTTCTAAAGTCCGTGTCAGACTAGAGGATGTTATTGGGTTCGTGGGGGCTCATCACAGGTCCTGTTTTAATAATTTGAACCGTTCAATGTGTAAAACTCGTTGAGTACTATATGTTTGTAAAAAATCATATTAATTGGATGTCAATAATGATGTGATCAAATTAGTTTTGTACAAAAAAAAAATAGACGGTGAAAAAATTAACAATTGACAAAAATCTAATCCGATAAAATAACTATTAATATCTGATTACCGTGATTTTTTACAGACATATAGCACTCGATGAATTTTACATATTAAACGATGCGAATTATCGAAACGGAACTTGTAGTGGGTTCGCATGGGCACAATTGTACCTCACAGTCAAGGAAGCCAATACCTTTCTTTATATGCCCATTTTGCAAGAAGAAAAGGTTTGGGATGTAATTTCTAAAATTATATAGAGTAATTCATATTTTAAACAAACTTCAGAAATGTTTTGTAAGTTACCCTATTGAGAGGGTGATTTATGATCCGGTGTTGGGCCGAGGTATCGACCGAGCAAGTTGAGAGCCCAGCAGTGCATTGGGCCGAGATGATCGACTGTTCACCCAGAGATGGGCTACCAGAACTTGGGCCGGGCAGAGTTTGGACCGAGTGTGTGCCACCAGAAATGTTTTGTAAGTTACCCTATAATAATATTACAAAGTAATTCAAATTAATCAAATTATATAACAATAATTAAGTACACTAATATACTATTTCTTCAATAAAATTAAAAATAACGGGATTGTGATTTTTAATTAATTAAATAGAGAGAGGAGACAAATTTTTTCTTTTTTCTTTTTAAAAAAGGAAAAAAGTTCTTTGTAAGGAATTAAGAATTCTGTGTTTTAAAATAATTCTATTTTTCTTTCTTTCTTTCTTTTTTTATACAAACTCTCTCTCTCTCTATATATATATAAATAATTTATTCAAGAAAAATCACAAAAATGATGATATAAATAAAAACCATCTTCATGAAGATTTTGTTTCAAAGTGGAAGATTCATATTAAATTATATAAAATTACATCCTTTTATATAGAAATTATATATGGTTTTATTTTATTTTATATATATATTCTTACTGAATTTATATTATGATATTTATTATGTCTTTCTTTTTTTTTCTTTCTTTTTTTTAAAAAAAAGTTCTTTGTAAGGAATTAAGAATTCTGTGTTTTAAAATAATTCTATTTTTCTTTCTTTCTTTCTTTTTTTATACAAACTCTCTCTCTCTCTATATATATATAAATAATTTATTCAAGAAAAATCACAAAAATGATGATATAAATAAAAACCATGTTCATGAAAATTTTGTTTTAAAGCGAAAGATTCATATTAAATTACATTCTTTTATATAGAAATCATATATGGTTTTATTTTACTTTATGTATATATTCTTACTGAACAAAAATTTATATTATGATATTTATTATGTCAGTAAGGCTACATATAAATCTCATTTATATTCATATTCAACCATTAATAATTATGTACGCTAAACAAAAAATGGAATAAAAATATAATAAACATCAAATTAATTATTTTTTAAAACACTATTTTTTGTTGATAAATCTATTTTTTTGAACAACTTTAATGGTGCCAATCTATGAAAACTTCTCAAAAATTTTATATAATTCTAAAAAAGAATTCAAAGTTCAATTGGTTCAATTCATCCAGGAAAGTATACTCGAAAATAGGGTTGAAATCAATCCGTTTCTGTCCGATTTTGCATATTTTTTGGTCAAAACCGGAAAAATCAATTTTTTACACCCACAACAAACAGATAAACCAGACTGGACCAGTAAATTCAGTTCAGTTTGGTTTGATTTACAGATTACGAAATTTGTTTCAAAAAATAATAATTACCTTTATTTATTAAAAAAAAATGAGATCAATCTCTAATTAAAATATAAGGATGTTTTTACCCAACAAACAACAACATATTTGCACCAAGAGTAATTCATCAACTATCAAATTCAACAACAATAAGAGGTAATGCCTGTATATTGAAAATTCGGTAGATTTGGCATAATCGGTGAATTCGGATCGGCATGAAATCTCCAAAACCAACACCAAACTGATTTCCAGAGGAAAAAAATCCCAACACAGACCGACCGTTTTGCGGTACAGAAAATAGGCCGAAAACCGGTCAGTCTGACCGGTGTAGGCAGTTTTTCTTTCACCCTACTTGAAAATTCCATCTCAATATTACAAAATGTGAATGCAACCTGCCAACGGACAAGAAATGGAAAAGATTAGTTGCAATAGAAAATCAGTAAGAAATTCTGCAGGAAAAAGCAGAGAGTTATTGAGAAAAGGAATAAATACCACAACTTCTTGGCAGTGTGGATTGAGAACATGTTCAGATTACTTCTCTTCATCCTCGGAATCTGACTTTGCAAAAACAGTTTCAGGCTGTGTTTGTGCATACGCAGGAGCAATGTATTTCGGTTCTTTTGCTGCAACATCTGCATATTTCAGAATGGCTTCTCTAGGATCTTCGTCCATCCACGTCTCCTTGATCAAGCCTCCTTGCTGCAATAACACTCAGAACATAAGTGTATTCCACGAGTTTTATTTGTGTCATATACAATGGGGAAAAAAATTACCTTAAGAAGGTACTG